CAGGCTAACTGATCTAAAATCCCTGTTTTCAGAGGCATGGAGCACCACCAGGAACAACCTCGACATCACACACGGGTTCCTCTGGGAAGCCCTGGGATGCACGAGCAGCTTTTCGGAGAGCCAGAAATCCCGTGCTTTGGAATCGAGCTGGGGCTGCAGCGGGAAGGGCCTCCCACTGCAGACACTCCACCGCTGCCCATCCCGGGAAGGGAAGCAATTACAAGCTGTTTAATTAGGAAAGAGGAGCTGAAAGCTTGTTCAGATGTTAATCTCGAGGGCGCCGTGCGGGCAGGGAGCCAGCTCAGCTCTCCCGGTGCCGCGGGGTCCCTGCCCTGCCCCGGCTCTTTCAGTGCCCTCCGAGTTTTCCACCGCAAACTCCTCCCTTGCCCTTATTAGAGAGCGATCCCTACGGATCACAGGCTGAACAAGGGAAACCTGAGCGAGGGCACACCTAAAGGTGTGGAGCTGCACCCCGGGAGAGGGGGATTTGTCCTGGCCCCCTCAGCCAGTGCCCCGTGGAAGGACTGGAGGCACAGCCAGACCAACACTCTTTGCTAATAAAATTCTTCAAGTGCCTGAAATCACCAGCCCATTACTTAATTGGGAAGGATCCTGTTTTCCATGCAAGCCACTTAAAAAAAAGACCTAATTAACCTCCAGGAGATGAAACGCTCCTTGTTCTTACTGACTGGAGCTCCTCTTCCCTGCCCAGAAGGAAACCCTGCCAGCCACCCTCCTCTTTGGTGGCTCTACTGCAGCTTCTAAATGTTAATAACCAGTCTTTTTGCCTGCTGTTGTCAGGAGTTTGTAGGACACTCGGCCTCTTTGTGCCTAAATAACCACCTTGCCCTGTGTGTGTCTCGGGATGAGCTGGATCCCATGTTGGACCCAGTTCTGAGGACAGAAGGAATGCCCTGGGAAAGGAAGCGGAGCTGCTTTGATCCCAGATTTTCCTGGGAGTGCCACGGGGTTCTTTTAGACTCCTGAACTGTCCACACAGCCAGGGCAGCCACCGAGGTCAGGTTACAGCCCTCCTGTTCCCAGTGTTCCCGGCCTCGGGGTGGGATCTCCCATTGGTTGATGTCCCAGTTCCAGGCTCACTTTTCCATGCTGGTCCCGGGATGTGATCCCTGA